AAAAATTTATAGTAACAACGTACATCAGATAGATAAATTGGATAATTCTGCCTACAATATTTACAGAATTATGCCCCTTTTTAACTTAGAGAATTTTGGTTAAAGTTTTTTGTAAAGTCAAATATCTCAATTATTGCTTGACATATTCAATTGAAATTAACAATACTTTTTTTATAGTAACAATGTACATCAGTTTGCAAAGTCTGCAATATTTGCAGAATTATGCCCCTTTGAAACTTTGGATAAAGGTTAAAGGCCTTAAGAACTTAAGATATTTACTTGAAACTTAACACATGTACTAAGGGTCATACTTGAGGGTCACATCTCAAGATCCATTACTCTGCCATGTATGCATTAATCTTAGTATACTTCCAGTCTATCTCTAATTTACAGCAACATGACAATTACCAATAGTTGTATTGAAAAAATCATAAATATGGCATTAAACGACATAATGCACAAAATAGTGCTAATATTTGAACAGTTGAAATTAATTATCATTTTAATATTAAGAAGTAGCTGTTGTTTTGTTTTCTCATTGTAGGCTACAAAGTTTCCTAGCAACGCTTTCTGGTACATCACTCAGATTGTAGGCAAGAAGTTTGATGATCCTGCTGTTGCCCAATATCAAAAGCGGTTCCCATATTATAAACTTGTTAAAGATGAAGACAGGGGAACCATCATTTTCCAAATAGATGAGTAAGTATTAGGTTAATCTTATAAATCTTTGTAGAAAATTCTAAAGTAAATATAATACAACAGAATTAGATATGTACAGATTCACTGTTGGCATACCAGTATAGGTTTCAATACTTTTGAAGATAGTTGTGCTTATTCAACTTGTTAGCAGTATAAAAAAATCACTGATTTTATTTCTGTTTACTCACACAATATTTTTATATAAAGGGAAACCCAGTACACACCAGAGGAGCTGTTGGCAATGATTTTAGAGAAAGCAAAACAATATGCTGAAACATTTGCTGATCAAACCATTAAAGATGTTGTGATAACTGTGCCATCTTTCTTCAACCAGGCAGAGAGGAGAGCTGTCTTAATGGCTGGAGAACTAAGTGGCCTTAATGTCCTACAACTAATGGGGGATAATGCTGCAGGTTAGGATAGGAAAAAACTTATTTAAACAATTAATTGCAGAATACTTGTATAAAACACTGTATCTTTTTCCTGCTTTAGAAAGGTCTTGAAAATGGACCTGTATTAATCACTCAATGTTAGAGTTTTTCCCATTGTTTTAAATTTACAATTTTGATTTTGTTAACACTAATTATTTCTCATTTTGTGTAATTTTACCAATTTGATATTTCACTGTTTTTTTTTTATTTTGACTCAATTATTATACCCCCACAAACGAAGTTTAGGGGGGGTATATAGGAGTCAGCTTGTCGGTCGGTCAGTCCACATCATGGTTTCCGGACGATAACTAGAGTTTGGAATGAGGTATTGTAATCAAACTTGGTATATAGCAACCTTATGTGGAAACTCCGGTTGGTATTGCATTTGGACCCCCTGGGTTCAAGGTCAAGGTCACCATTACTAAAAATAGAAAAATGGTTTCCAGACAATAACTAGAGTTAGGAATGAGATATTGTTATCAAACTTGGCCTATACTAGGCTATAGCAAGCTTATATAAAGACCTGGGTTGGTATTGCATTTGGGCCACCTGGGGTCATGGTCAAGGTCACCGTTACTAAAAATAGAAAAATGGTTTCCGGACAATAACTTGACTTAGGAATGAGATACTGTTATCAAACTTGGTGTATAGCAAGCTTATATGAAGACCTGGGTTGGTATTGATTTTGGGCCCCCTGGGGTCAAGTTCAAGGTCACCGTTGCTAAAAATAGAAAAATGTTTTCCGGACAATAATTTGACTTAGGAATGAGATATTGTTATCAAACTTGGCGTATAGCAAGCTTTTATGAAGACATGGGTTGGTATTGCATTTGGGCCCTTGGTATTGCATTTGGGCCCCCTGGGGTCAAGGTCAAGGTCACCGTAAGGAAAAATAGAAAAATGGTTTTCTGACTATAACTAGAGTTAGGAATGAGATATTGTAATCTAATTTGGTGTAAAGGAAGCTTATATGAAGACCTGGGTTGGTATTGCATTTGGACCCCCTAGGGTCAAGGTCACCGTTAAAGTGTTACTAAAAATTGAAAAATTGTTTCCGGACAATAACTAGAGTTAGGAATGAGATATTGTAATCAAACTTGGTGTATAGCAAGCTTATTTCGAGACCCCAGTTGTGATTACAATCAATTGAAATATTTCTTTGTACACAGTTGATAGTTTGTGTTCAAATTTTTCTCCAGACTACTTTTTTTTCAAAAAGTCAAAGTTGCTGGTGGGGGTATTAATCACCTTCAGTGATAGGTCTAGTTTAACTAGGTTTCTAGATGCGAGTATAATATTTATTAAGTGAAATATTTTCTACAAACTTGCTTGGTATGATTCAATAAAAAATTTCATAAATTTGTTATAATTTGAACAACAATAATACTACTTACTGGGAAGGATTACCAAGGTGTTATGACTGTTTGAGTAGAAATGGTATGTAGCTTATATCTGTGAAGAATGTTATAAATATTTGGTAATATTTTATCATACTTATGATGATTATGTATATTTAAGTTGCCCTGAACTATGGAGTGTTTAGAAGAAAGCAGTTTAACAACAGTATGACATATATCATGTTTTATGATATGGGAGCTACAAGCACTACAGCTACAATTGTTGGTAAGTTCTGTAAACTTTGTTGATATTGTATGTCAAGTTATCAAGATGCTTTATGTGGGTGTAACCCAAAACCTGCTGCAACCTTTAATCTTCACCACCTGTATATAGACTGACTGGCCTGTATATAGTGTTTAGTCTTTGCCACCAGTATATAGACTGACTGACCTGTATATAGTGTTTAGTCTTTGCCACCAGTATATAGACTGACTGGCCCGTATATAGTGTTTAGTCTTTGCCACCAGTATATAGACTGACTGACCTGTATATAGTGTTTAGTCTTTGCCACCAGTATATAGACTGACTGACCTGTATATAGTGTTTAGTCTTTGCCACCAGTATATAGACTGACTGGCCGGTATATAGTGTTTAGTCTTTGCCACCAGTATATAGACTGACTGGGCCGTATAGTGTTTAGTCTTTGCCACCAGTATATAGACTGACTGGCCGGTATATAGTGTTTAGTCTTTGCCACCAGTATATAGACTGACTGACCTGTATATAGTGTTTAGTCTTTGCCACCAGTATATAGACTGACTGGCCGGTATATAGTGTTTAGTCTTTGCCACCAGTATATAGACTGACTGGCCTGTATATAGTGTTTAGTCTTTGCCACCAGTATATAGACTGACTGGCCGGTATATATAGTGTTAAGTCTTCACCACCAGTATATAGACTGACTGACCTGTATATAGTGTTTAGTCTTTGCCACCAGTATATAGACTGACTGGCCTGTATATAGTGTTTAGTCTTTGCCACCAGTATATAGACTGACTGGCCGGTATATAGTGTTTAGTCTTTGCCACCAGTATATAGACTGACTGACCTGTATATAGTGTTTAGTCTTTGCCACCAGTATATAGACTGACTGGCCCGTATATAGTGTTAAGTCTTCACCACCAGTATATAGACTGACTGGCCTGTATATAGTGTAGTCTTTGCCACCAGTATATAGACTGACTGGCCGGTATATAGTGTTTAGTCTTTGCCACCAGTATATAGACTGACTGGGCTGTATATAGTGTTTAGTCTTTGCCACCAGTATATAGACTGACTGGCCGGTATATAGTGTTTAGTCTTTGCCACCAGTATATAGACTGACTGGCCGGTATATAGTGTTTAGTCTTTGCCACCAGTATATAGACTGACTGACCTGTATATAGTGTTTAGTCTTTGCCACCAGTATATAGACTGACTGGCCGGTATATAGTGTTTAGTCTTTGCCACCAGTATATAGACTGACTGACCTGTATATAGTGTTTAGTCTTTGCCACCAGTATATAGACTGACTGACCGGTATATAGTGTTTTAGGCTTTGCCACCAGTATATAGACTGACTGGCCCGTATATAGTGTTTAGTCTTTGCCACCAGTATATAGACTGACTGGCCGGTATATAGTGTTTAGTCTTTGCCACCAGTATATATACTGACTGGCCGGTATATAGTGTTTAGTCTTTGCCACCAGTATATATACTGACTGGCCGGTATATAGTGTTTAGTCTTTGCCACCAGTATATAGACTGACTGGCCTGTATATAGTGTTTAGTCTTTGCCACCAGTATATAGACTGACTGGCCTGTATATAGTGTTTAGTCTTTGCCACCAGTATATAGACTGACTGGCCTGTATATAGTGTTTAGTCTTTGCCACCAGTATATAGACTGACTGGCCGGTATATAGTGTTTAGTCTTTGCCACCAGTATATAGACTGACTGGGCTGTATATATGTAGTGTTGGAAACTCACTATATTTAAAGTGCTGTATATTTATTAGGTTATCAAGTTGTTAAGATGAAGGAAGGTACAAGAATGGTGGAGAATCCTCAGCTAGTTATAAAAGGAGTTGGGTAAGTTACTATATAACTGTCTAAAGTATATACATCAGCAAGGGTATTCCTTCGTACATGTATATAATACATTCTATGCTGCCCATTTAACATATTGACACACCAAATTGCAAAATTTTCTTCTACATTTCTGATTAACACAGTTTTTACATAGCAAGGAAAGGAAGTTTATAAGTAATTGTCAGGAAGGATTTAATAAATATTACTTGATTATTTCAAAAAGCATTTAAATATGTTTTTGCATAATCTGTTTAAAGAAAGAAAAGAAAATGCAATCTTGTACATTGTCATGATTATACTAACAAGCTCAGAATTTCCTTGATGCAGATGTACAATATATCGTTATACCTCATCTCTGTAGCAAAAGTTTTCTTATTTCAGATTTGACAAGGAGTTGGGTGGTCTTGAGATATCCATGAGACTTCGTGATCATTTTGCAAAGTACTTCAATGAACATAAAAAGACAAAAACAGATTTATACACTAATTACCGTGCTATGGCAAAGTTACTGAAAGAAGCAAAGAGAGTAAAGAAAGTTCTCAGTGCTAATGTGGAACACATTGCCCAGGTATAACAAGTTTGATTGTTGTAAGTTTGTTTATATCTCATAAATTATAGTTGAGCCTTGCTAATCCGAACCCTTCTTATCCGGAATCCTTTCTTATCAAAAACTTTTCTTCTGGTCCAGACGAGTTTGGATTAGACAGGTTCCACTGTATTTGGTTAATTTTAATGAGTTCTTTTTCTGCAGTAGATAACATTATTGATAGGTCAGTCTTAAAAAGAGCCAAAATATTTTGGTACAAGAAGAAATTTCTATTTACAGTTTTCCAGCAGAGAATATCTCAGTTATTAATGTTTGGCAGTGGTACTCTGCCTGTAACATCATTTGTTCAAGAAGAATACAGAGAAATATTTTGACCAGGTCTGATTCTAAAGAAATAATTTCTAATGATTTTTTTGCTGAATTACAGTAATTCATGCTCTTGAAATAATTTTGCTTCTCCAATTATCAGGGTGATGTAGGTGGAATGAAAAATGAATCATGTTTATTATTATAAACTTAATAATATAGTCTGATTTTATTGACCTGTCAATTATGAATAAATTATAGCACTCTTATAAATGTTCGCTCCCACATCGGTTGTGTCCATGTTGTTAACGAGAATAAATATAGAGTATATAACTAATGTTTTGAAAAATCACCCCAGCTTAATGCCGTCTTCATTATCACATCCGCAATAGCACCATATATGAAATGCCTATGGTTTGATCTCTTCTGTTTCCATTGTTTTAGGCCTACTCTTTTATTTTTGCCAAGTGCTTGCTAACATTGTCTACAACTTTGTATTGTCTCATTTTGTATTGTGTTTAAAATCATTGAAATGACATTTATTGATTTTAATTCGGATAAATTTTTAAATATTGATATTTAAACCATGATTTTAAAGAGTGTAGACTTTGCCAAAATAAGTACAAACAATTTAAAACGAAATGAACAACATAAAAACAATCCTGTAAATAAGACAAAACATGGACCTAGCGGTCTTGATCGATGACATGTTTGACATTTAGAAATTATAAACCCGTAGTTTACCCTATTATGCTATAAATCTTGGTATAATTATTTCATTGACACAAATTAAGTTTAATAAAATCCTACTGTGTACATATCAGTTATTGAAAATGCATCGAACATTAACATATTGTGTGCATTGACTGAATAATCAATATTATATATACGAGGGATGTTCGAAATGTTTTGCTTATTTCTATCTGGAGACTTCAAATTTCAAGTTAGCTCAAAAGTGTTCATTTCATGCCCTCGAAGTACTCCCCGTGGCTAGAAATGCAAAGTTTCAGCTGATGTATCCACTCTTGAAGGCGTCGCGGTACGCTGATTTGGGCACAGTAATAAGGTACTGATGAATGGCAGATTCAAGTGCCTGTCGGGTCTTGTATTTCCGCCCAGCAAGGAAGGATTTCAATTTCAGAAACAAAAAGAAATCACATGGGACACGGTCTGGAAAATACGCGGGTGAGGCAAAACAGTTACTTTTTCTTTTTTTCAAAAATGCCGAAACTATTGCGGAGGTATGAGCGGGGGCATTGTCATGTAGAAGTCGGATATGCTTAAAACCAGTGACAGGGCTTCGTTTCTGATAATACTTTTTCAATTTCTTAAGTACTACGTCTTTGTAGTACTTCCCAGTGATACTTTTGCCCTTTTTCACCGGCACTTTAATTGTGACTCCTTCACCAGAGAAGAAAATTGCATACAAAACCTTCTTTGCACACAAAGACCGTTAGGAAATTTTTGGGCGTTTGTTGTGTTTAGTGGCCCAGATTTTGTTGCTAACTTTTCTGACGGGCTCAAAATAATGGACCCAAGCTTCATCCCCTGTGACGACATTGGCAAACTGTTTTTTGTCATATTTTGAAAACATTTGAAACAGCTTTTTGGCCACCTTAACCCGTTGCCTCTTTTGCTCATTGGTCAACAGATGTGGCACCCATCTAGCAGAAATCTTTGAACTTTCTGACTTTCAAATGCTTCTTCAAAATAAAGTGAACCGTTGATTGTGATATGCCTACCTTTCGTGCAATATCATGAACTGTAAATCTGGCATCTCCTTCAATGATATCCTTTATTTTGAAAATGATTTCGTTACGAGATGCAGATTTTGGCCTACCTGATTTTGGTGCATTTTCGATGCACTCTACATCAGACTCAAATTTCTTTTTCCATCACCTAACTGTGTCATAAGACACACAAAAAGGCCCATAAGCAGAAGAGAGTTCAGTCATCAATTGCTTCAAAGAGCAACCCAGTTTTGAGCAAGCTTTGATGTAAGCCCTTATTTCATCTTTTTTGTTGACGCTTCTACCAACCATTTTTACTACAGTGGTCAATGACTGTGTGTATTTAAATGGCAAATTGTATGTCTTACACTTAGTCTAACATGTACATTTATACACCATTGTGTAGGTATTGAATTACCCTATACAGGTATGTATTGGTTTTAATCTTGTCCCACATGGATTACAAGATAGAGGACAATAAGCAATTCTTTTCGAACAGCCCTCGAACAATTGGCAGATCAATGAAAGAAAACAATATATTTTGTAGAAAATACTTGTCAAGTTAAAATGTTTGTTACTTTTTATTAAGATTGAAGGGTTGCTGGATGATGAAGATTTTAAGATGAAGGTGACCAGACAAGAGTTAGAGGACATGTGTGCTGATATGTTTAAACGAGTTACAACTCCAATACAAGATGCTTTAAAGGCTTCAGAAATAACCATGGTAACTAATCATTGTTAACAGTTTCTGATATGCAGTTTTATTGATTAGCTTCAAGTGTGTTTTAAGTGCTTTACATTTTAGTACAATATTTCACAACCATAATATGTCACCATTATTTATGCAAGTCATTATCAGCACTAGCAAATAAAGAGTTACAGTGATAATAATAACCCGTGCTTTATACAGGCAGAGATATCAGATGTTATTTTGATGGGAGGTGGCTCAAGAATTCCGGCTGTTCAATCTAGACTAATGGAATTTCTTGGAGGGTGAGCTAATATTTTATGATTTAATTATTTTGCTATATATAAATAGTGTAGAAAACTTTATTTTATTTTACCTTAACATGCAAAATGTATGAAATTATAATAAAAGAATCAGTATAATAAAAGTGGTATAATAAAAGACTTTAGTGGCCTCCATGACCAACTTGTTCAAGTTGCTGGCCGTTACTGCTATGTTCTTGAAAATTGCAAGGGACTTTATTTCTTATATATGAGAAAACTATCGAGCGTGCTACAGAAGGTATGTTATTCATTTCCTTCGCCCACTCCTGCTGAAAATAACATTCAGAGTTGCATATCTTAACGTTCTCTACCAGTAAAGCTGAAAAGTCACCATATGACCTATATGGTATCAATTTAACTTTATTCTCAACTAAAAAACAGATTTAGTGAAGGTGAGAGCAAATTTAAAAAAGCCTGTTAACCAACATTATACATAATGTTAGTATCCTCGGATAGTTACAATTATTTAATAATCACAGGAGGGAGAGATATTGTAATGGTCTTTTGCGTGATTTCTATGATTTGTTTATAGGTGGTTAAAATGCAAAGTCTTTGATATTAGAACATAACCTGTTTGAATGCTAGACATAGTAATCTTCTATGAAAATGTTTATAGGGTAGAGCTAGGAAAGAGTTTGAACACTGATGAGGCAGCTGCTATGGGAGCTGTATACCAGGCTGCATATCTAGGCAAAGGGTTTAAAGTTCTCACATTTGGTGTAAAGGAAGCAAATATGTATCCCATTGTGGTATGTATCTCACAAATGACTATATTGTTGGTGACTAATTATGCTTGAAAAATTTAAAAGGAGTCTGTTATAGGTAATGGATTAAGGTCCATTTCCTGCAAAACTATTAATGCTGTTCACTTCAAACTTGTTTTATTTGTTCTACTTCCGCCAGAAAAGCTGGAAAGTTGTCATATGAACTATTACTATGCTATGTAGGTGCAACATAAAACCCAACCAAAAAAAACCCTCAGTATCAGATTTGAGATTTGCAATACATTTCTTAAGGCACTTGCCTTGTTGTTGTTTTTTTTTTTGGGGGGGGGGGGAATAGAGGTATTGTTACAGTTATATTAAACAATTAATTAAAATGTGTTTATGATTTACTTTACAATTAACATTTGCAACAAAATTGTTAACAATTGTTTTGTTTGAAATATAATTGTTATTTTGTTGGCTTCCCTAAGGTGGAATTTGAGAAACACAGAAATGAAGACAGCACAGACCCACCAAAAATCATCAAGAGAACTTTATTTAGTAGAATGAATGCTTATCCTCTGAAAAAAGTCATGACCTTCAACAAACATTACAAGGACTTTAACTTCAATGTCACATATGGTGATTTAGATTTTCTACCTGAAGAAGAAGCTAAGTATGTTGAAGAAGTTTATATTGATCACATTATGTTGTACAGTAGAAGACAGCTGACTTGCTTTGTTTGCTAATGTTCTCTATTCAAATGATTATGAGCTTGACTTTTTCAAAGAAAAAATGCAAGCTATTTCTGCAGTTATAGTGCTGTTCCCATCGCTCCTGAATTTTTATGCCACCGCAGCATCTGCGATGCGGTGGCATATAGCGATTCACCTGTGTGTGTGTGTGTTAGTGTGTGTGTTTGTGTGTGTGTTATATAGATTATATAGTGAACTTAAAAAATCTTCTTGTGAAAAACCACTAGTCCAATTTCAACCAAACTTGGCAGGATTGTTCCTTGGGTGAAGTGCTTCCAAAGTTGTTCAAAGAATTTCATTCCATGCAGAAATCTGGTTGCCATGGCAACCAAAAGGAATTATAAGAATAAATTTAAAAAATCTTCTTGTAAAGACCCAAAAGGCCTAGAGCTTAGATATTTTGCATAAGGCATTGTCTGGTAGACCTCTAACAAGATTGTTCAAATTATAGCCCTGGGGTCAAAAATGGCCCCGCCCCGGGGGTCATTGATTTTCACTACTTACATATAGTAAAAACTTAAAATACCTTCTTGTAAAAACCCAAAAGGCCTAGAGCTTAGATATTTTGCATAAGGCATGATCTGGTAGACCCTTACCAAGATTGTTCAAATTATAGCCCTTGGGTCAAAATCGGCCCCACCCCGGGTCATTGATTTTCACTATATGTACATATAGTAAAAACTTAAAAACACCTTCTTGTAAAGACCCAAAAGGCCTAGAGCTTATATATTTTTGCATAAGGCATTGTCTGGTAGACCTCTACCCAGATTGTTCAAATTATAGCCCTGGGGTCAAAATCGGCCCCGCCCCGGGGGTCATTGGTTTTCCTTATATGTATATAGTAAAAACTTATAATAAAAACTTCAAAAAAAATTCTTCTAGCAATTGACAAATGCTAGAGGTTAGATACTTTGCATGAAACATTGTGTAGTAAACCTCTAGCAAGATTGTTCAAATTATAGCCCTGGGGTCAAAATTGCCCCCGCCCTTGGGGGTCTTTGATTTCAATATATACATATAGTAAAAAATAAATAAATCTTATTGTCTGAAGGTACAAGGCTTGAAGCTTTAATATTTGTTAAATAATATCATCTAAAGGTACTCTACAAAAGTAATTAAAATTTTGCCTCTTGTGTCAAAATTAGCCCCGCCCCCGGTGGCCATAGGTTTTCCTTATATTATGTATATAGTAAAAACTTAAAAAATCATCTTCTCTAAATTTACAAAGGCTAGAGTTAAGATATTTTGCATGAAACATTGTGTAGTGAACCTCTTGCAAGATTGTTCAAATTATAGCCCTGGGGTCAAAATTGGTTCCGCCCCGGGGGTCATTGATTTTCATTATGTACATATAGTGAAAAAATAGAAAATATTTTTGTCTGAAGGTACAAGACATAGAGCTTTGATGTTTGATATATATAATATCATTAATAGGTCCTCTACCAAAGTTGTTCAAAATTTTCCCCTGGTGTCAAAATTGGCCCTGCCCGGGGGCAGTGATTCTCATTATGTACACATAGTAAAAACAGAAAATAAAACAAATGTTTTCTGAATGGGAGAAAGCTATAGCTTAGATATTTGACTTGAAATGTTATTTGGTGGACCTGTATCAAAATTGTTTTGAATTAAACCCTTGGGCCCAAGGGGACAGTGACCTACTTTCTTGTCCTTTGATGTACAGCAATGACATTTTGACCATGTGCACAGTTTTAGTTGTAAAATTGAACTTTGATATCAGGTGACCTAGATTTTGATGATGTGACCTACTTTCTTGTCCTTTGATGTACAGCTATGAAATTTGAACCATGCGGTGGCATAGCATTTTTCTCAAATGCAATCTTGTTTTTATTTCATACTGGATTAACTTCATTACTTAGACACAACAATCCTTCGGACAAGACTTTCAAGTAGACAAGGTGGAACTTGACCTTGGCTTATAAATGACCTTGACCTTAAATGTCAAAATATAGATTGTTGCTGTGACTGGCTATAAAACATTTTATGAATGTATTATCTTTGTACTTTGACACAACAGTCCTTAGGTTCTAGAGAGTGATCCAGGCCCTTTTGGTTAAGTTTGCTTTAAATAACCTCAGTGTACAAATTTTATTCAGATTGGGACAAAACAACACACATGACAACACCAACATGTTGAATGCGTCTCATTTTTAGCTCACCTGTCACAAAGTGACGGGGTAAGCTTTGGTGATCACTTTTCGTCTGTCCGTAAACTTTTACTTTAAATGACATCTCCTCATAAACCACTAAGCCAATTTCATCCAAACTTCACAGGAATGTTCATTTGGTGGTCACCTTTGAAAATTGTTCAAAGAATTTGATTCCATGCAGAACTCTGGTTGCCATGGCAACCGAAAGAAAAAACTTTAAATATCTTCTTCTAAAAAACGCAAAGAGCTAGAGCTTAGATATTTGGCATGAAACATCTTCTAGTGAGTGTTTACCAAGTTTGTTCAAATAAAAGCCCTGGGGTCAAAATTGGCCCGGCCCCAGGGGGGTCATTGATTTTCCCTATATGCACATAGCAAAAACTTAAAAAATCTTCTTTTAAAGAACCCACAGAGCTAGAGCTAAGATATTTAGCATGAAACATGTTGTAATGGATGTCTACCAAGTTTGTTCAAATAAAAGCCCTGAGGTCAAAATTGGCCCGGCCCCAGGGGGTCATTGATTTTCCCTAAATGCATATAGTAAAAACTTATAAAATCTTCTTTTAAAGAACCCAAAGAGCTAGAGCTAAGATATTTAGCATGAAACATCTTCTAAAGGATGTCTACCAAGTTTGTTCAAATAAGAGCCCTGGGGTCAAAATTGGCCCCGCCTGGGGGTCATTGATTTTCCTTATATGTGTATAGTAAAAAATGCCATAGGAAAGAATTATTTTTAAATATCTTCTTTGAAAAAAACCAAATAGCTAGAGTTTAGATATTTAGCATGAAACATCTTCTAGTGAGTGTCTACAAAGTTTGTTCAAATAAAAGCCCTGGGGTCAAAATTGGCCCCGCCTCAGGAGACATTGATTTTCCTTGTATATATGTGTATAGCAAAAATTTAAAAATCTTCTTCGAAAAAACCCGAATAGCTAGAGTTTAGATATTAAGCATGAAACATTCTCTAGTAAGTGTCTACAAAGACTGTTCAAATAAAAGCCCTGGGGTCAAAACTGGCCCTGCCCCAGGGGTGTCATTGTTTTTAACTATATGTGTAAAGAAAAAACTTAAAAAATCTTCTTTGAAAAAACTTAAAAAATCATCTTCTTTTAAAAAAACCCAACGAGCTAGACCTTAGATGTTTAGCATGAAACATCTTCTTATGGGTGTCTACCAAGTTTGTTCAAATAAAATCCCTGGGGTTTAAACTGGCCCGCTTCGGGGGGCATATATACAGGTGAGCGACTTCAGGGCCATCATGGCCCTCTTGTTATATTATTGCCAGATCTTCAAAATTGTAAAAGCCACATATTAAGTTATGGAAGCCTTTATTGTCTTTTGCTGGTTTACCTTTTGAAATAAGAAAAGATAAGCATGGACCCCAATCAGCAATGGCTGTTGTCATATTCTCTTTCTAATTGTAGGTTTCCAATATTAACATTTTTGATATTTTAATTCTCATTTCAAGAGAAAGAAAGACAGAAATTATTTTTTAGCTATCATGCATTATTTATATTATTCCTATCTTGCCATCATTTAAGTTTCTTGCATGGTACAAGATTTCAAAATGATAATTTTTATGAGGTGATTTAATATAAGACAATAAAACTTGGATGATTCTATTCTTATAGAATGATTGGTTTAATATGTGTAACTGTTTGGACTGAAGTAAGGGAATGAGAAATAGTCAGGTTTAAACAAAGTTGATTATTGTCAGGGTGTTTCGTGAGTTACAAAGTCAGATCAGTGAGATAGGTCTACGTGGTTTAGAGGAGATTTACAGTAAACATTCTGATGCCAAAGAAGCCAAAGGGATTAAAGCTCACTTCAAAATGGATGAGAGTGGAATACTAACACTTGATCTGGTAAATAAATGATATGTAGTTTAATAATTTTAGTGTTTCAGAGTGAAGTAACAGTTATTTCAAAAAACTGTATGTAGCATCTTCAGAATCTATTCTGTTCTTACTTGTCCATGTTGTCTGCATCTTGAGAACTTCTGTTGCAGAATGGAAAAAAAATATTCTGACTGTGATATGTTTGTTAATTTATTCAGAAAAAGTGTTTATGTTAGTGTTTGTTAATTTATTCAGAAAAAGTGTTCATGTTAGAAAAATGTTACTTTTGGATTTGTTCTCAATGCAGTGTACATATATTTTCAGGTAGAGTCAGTGTTTGAAAAGGAAGATAAAGTTGTTGAGGAGGAATCCACATGGTCCAGTAAGTAAGCTAATAAAAATATAGATTACTCCGATCCTGTACATATAACGCCTAGACCCAGCACCTTATTCGCAAAATAATAGAGCTAATGCAGTCGACCATTTGTCGGCGTCCCTGTGGTTAAGTTTTTGCGTGTAAGCAAGTATCTCCATAACTACTGAAGGGAATGGATTGAAACTTCACACACTTGTTGTTCTCTGTGATTATCTAACATGATTGGCACAAGTCCCAGAAAACCAGTTTATTTCGTGCCGATTCGATTCAATATCAAATATAAGAATTTTAATTTGATTCGGGGTGTCTGAAATCCAATCAAACTTTTGGTGTATCATTGCAGCCCTAATTTGCTCAGATCATTTCTAACTGGAAAATGTTATACAATATGGATGCTCAATTTTCACTTAATGAATATATAAAACCATTACTTTGATGGAAGTAAAAGAACAAAATTAAGGTACTTAGTTTATTTTAGAAAGACCTTAAACCAAAAGAGATTCAAAAGTATCCCTTTTAAGATAAGACAACTGATAGATCCCTAATCTGACCTCTTATTTGAATAACAACACATTTAACCACAAACATTGACATTTGCTCTTTTGTTAACAAATAGGTTGTGAAATTCTTATTGTATCCACTAATCTGATAATTAGAATTAGACAGGTGAAGGATTTATGCATATTTTCATAAGTTAAAGTATGATATTTAAATGTGTTACAGAACTAGGTGGCACTTTGACTGGTTTATTTGGTAATACAGAAGGCAAAGATGTGGATGTACCTCTAGAGGTAATTGTTTTTGTTTATGTAAAAACACCCAATATCTGTTCTTTTCTTTAAATATTGGACCAGTAATGACAATTAGCAATTATTCACAAAATATTACATTTTTAGCTCGAATATTTGAAGAAAGGGGAGAGATAATATTGTACTCACCAAGGTGTTGGCATGGGCATCACACTTTGGTAAAGTTTTTGGGTGCAAGAAACTTCACGCATTTGAATAAGTGTTAAGAAGTTGCATTAATTTCATTGAATTTTTTAGAGCTTACTTTAATTGCTGATTGCCATTATAGCATTGTTTGAAAATTGTTAATGATTTCTTGGTGTGAAAACTGTTATGACCTTTTGAATATACATGTAGTAATTAAGCTTTTTTTATGCCCCCTGCCATATAATGGCTGGGGCATATAGTGTTACCCTGTTCCGTCCTTCTGTCATTCCGTCCTTCGGTCATTCAATCAACATCAGTTTCCGTTCATTATCTTAGTAACGGTTGCACACATTCAACTCAAATTTAACATGTGGATATGTCATGAGAAAATACAGGTCAAGGTTGAATTTGGTCATGGTTCGATGATTTTTGGCAGAGTTATGCACCTTTTTCTTTTTGAAAATAATATGAAATTTTCAGTTTCCGCTCATTATCTCCCAAACGGTATTACACATTCAACTCAAACTTGACAAATGGATACGTCAAAGGAAGGCGCAGGTCAAGTTCGAATTTGGTCATGGTTCAATGATTTTTGGCAGAGTTATGCCCCTTTCACTTTGAAAATAAATATGTAATTTTCAGTTTCCGTTCATTATCTCCCCAACAGTATTACACATTCAAATCAAATTTGACATATGGATACGTCAAAGGAATGCGCAGGTCAAGTTCGAATTTGGTCATGGTTCAATGATTTTTGGCAGAGTTATGCCCCTTTCACTTTGAAAATAAATATGAAATTTTCAGTTTCCGTTCATTATCTCCCCAACAGTATTACACATTCAACTAAAATTTGACATATGGATACGTCGAAGAAATGCGCAGGTCAAGTTTGGATTTTTGTCATGGTTCGATGATTTTTGGCAGAGTTATGCCTCTTTAACTTTGAAAAAAAGGAAATTTTCAGTTCCCATTCATTATCTCCCCAACAGTTGTAGATATTCAACTCAAATTAAAGATATGGATATGTCATAAGAATGCATTGGTCAATTTGGAATTTGGTCATGATTTGATGATAGCTGACAAAGTTATCCCTCTTGAACTTTGAAAAAATTGAATAGTTTTAAGGGCTTTGAACTTAAATGAAAAAAATAATTTGTGCAAACAAATTTGGAACTAAATATTATAACATCTGAAATTTTGGCTGCATGCGGGGGCATCCGTGGCGTGATGACACATTTCTATTTTTTTAATACATGTATGTACTCTTTGAGACTTTCTTACTTTTTACTTTTTGTTTCACAAAAAGTTGAGTGTTAGTGAAATATGCATGATAATTTCACAGCTTCATTGTGATTGTATGCATGTCACTGAGTTTCCAGTGTAATATTGGAAATCAATAAATGCATTGTGATAACTTATGATTGTTAATTTAAGATTTCAAACTTCTCTTTCTTGTTAAACCCAGTTTTCTGTGAAAGTTTAGATAAGTAAGAAGATAACTAGTAATATTTCCGTAAATATACCATCATAATGTAGAAAAACCAAGCTGAAGAGTGTCATGTGGTAAGTGTCTAGACATTGATTTGTTCATTAATGGCATGAAATTCTTCTTTGGTCAGAGGTTTTGTTTTTAAGTTACTCAAACTTTACAGTTTCTGGCAATAAGTATTGATATCAAAAGTTAAGTTTTGGTTGAAGCTTTTGTTTGGTTAAGATATTTTGAATTATGTTTCATTGTTTTAAGAGATGTGTTATACTTTCATTTTTCATTTGTTTATACACAGTCATAAAGAAATTTTTCTGAGTGTTCTGAAGTGTACCTAAGTCATCATGGTTTTAAGGATTTGTAAGTCATAAAGAAAAAGTGTTTTTTAATCTCAAAGAATTTTGTGAATTGGAGCTTTTGTAATTCCTAATAAAGTAAAAGTGTAAATAATGAAAAATGATTGTGAAATATAGAAAAATAACTGGCATGTAGCACAACCTAATCTCCTTTACAAAAAACACAGCCCTTGGGGTTACTTAGTTTATACAAACCTATATAAGAAAGTGCATTTTAATCTTTTGTCTAGAGCTTTGATATTTGGCATGAAGTATTGACCGATAAACCTCTGCAAAGTTAAATGATTTTTGGCCGTTAAGTTAAAAATGGTCTTGACCAAATTATTTGTTTCTGCTTTGAAGAAATGTGACAATTTAATGGATCACAGGCAAGTGATCTAAGGCCTTCTTGGCCATTTTGTTTAACCAGGTTTTCTGGTTTTAGATTGGTGATTCAATGTCAGAGAGTGGGCAGCAGGTTAACAATTTCTTTGATGTGCCACTTATATGTTTCTCATTACTTCCACAGCATTTTTATGCCCCCGCCATGTAATGGCCGGGGCATATAGTGTTACCCTGTTCCGTCATTCCGTCCTTCCGTCCTTCCGTCATTCTGTCATTCCGTCATCATCAGTTTCCGTTCATTATCTTAAGAACGGTTGGGCACATTCAACTCAAATTTGACATATGGATATGTCATGAGAAAATACAGGTCAAGTTCGAATTTGGTCATGGTTCGATGATTTTTGGCAGAGTTTATGCCCTTTTACTTTGAAAATAATATGAAATTTCAGTTTCCGTTCATTATCTCAAGAACGGTTGGACACATTCAACTCAAACTTGACATATGGATACGTTATGAGAAAATACAGGTCAAGTTCGAATTTGGTTATGGTTCGATGATTTTTGGCAGAGTTATGCCCCTTTTACTTTGAAAATAATATGAAATTTTCAGTTTTCTGTTCATTATCTCCCCAATGGTACAACACAATCAAACTCAAACTTGACAATATGGAATATGTCATGAGAAAATACAGGTCAAGTTTGAATTTGGTCATGGTTCGATGATTTTGGCAGAGTTATGCCCCTTTCAACTTTGAAAATAATATTAAATTTTTCAGTTTCCGTTCATTATCTCCCTCAAGGTACAACACATTCAACTCAAACGTGACATATTGATGCGTCAAAGGAATGCGCAGGTCAAGTTCAAATTTGGTCGTGGTTCGATGATTTTTGGCAGAGTTATGCCCCTTTTACTTTGAAAATAATATGAAATTTTCAGTTTCCGTTCATTATCTCCCTCAAGGTACAACACATTCAACTCAAACGTGACATATGGATGCGTCAATGGAAATGCGCAGGTCCAAGTTCAAATTTGGTCATGGTTCAATGATTTTTTGGCAGAGTTATGCCCCTTTCACTTTGAAAGTAATATGAAATTTTCAGTTTCCGTTTAATTATCTCCCCAATGGTACAACACATTCAACTCAAATTTGGACATATGGATATGTTTTTGGAATGCCCAGGTCAAGTTTCAAAATTTGGTCATGGTTCAATGGTTTTTGGCAGAGTAATGCCCCTTTCACTTTGAAAATAATATGAAATTTACAGTTTCTGTTCATTATATCCCAAACGGTACAACACATTCAACTCAAACTTGACCTATGGATATGTCATGAAAAAATACAGGTCAAGTTCGAATTTGGGTCATGGTTCGATGATTTTTGGCAGAGTTATGCCCCTTTTTACTTTGAAAATAATATGAAATGACAGTGTTACATATTCAATTTTAATTTGACATATGGATATGTCAAAGGAATGGGCAGGTCAAGTTGGAATTTGGTCATGGTTTGATGGTTTTTTGGCAGAGTTATGTCCCTTTCACTTTGAAAATAATATAGATACATCTTAGGAATAAGCAGTTAAAGTTGAATTTGGTCATGGTTCAATGATTTTAGACAAACTTATCTTTCCTGAATGTTGGAAAAATTTTGAAACTTTCAGTTTCAGCACTCAATTCTTTTAGCCATTATTTTGGCTACAAATATGCAATATGCTTTTTCTAAAGGTTAAGACTGAATAATTTCAGTGCCTTGAACGTTGTATGGAAATGGTTTGTGTTAACATTGAAAAGTTTTAAGGGCTTTGAACTTAAAATGAAAAAAAATAAATTAATGCACCATCTGAAATTTTGGCTGCATGCGGGGGCATCCGTGGCATGATGACACATTTCTAGTTTTGTGCTAGATTATAGCAGTTTGTTATTTAAGTCTTTTCAGCACTTTTATGATTGTATCCATGATATGTTGTTATCCACGGTTTCTTTCAACTGTTGTTATCCAAAGATTCATGAATCACATGATAGATTTTGACCAAACTTCACAGGAATTATCCTAAAGTGGCCATCTAGAAAAGTTAGTTTTTCAAATTGCTTTAAATATTGTTTTGTTTCAGTATTGATCTGTTAATACTTTTATATGGCGTTACCTAGTAAAGAAAAATTATCTCCAAAAATGTTATATTTTTGTGGTAATTATTAAAGGGTAGTGATAAAGGTGAGTCCCAGACAGGGGAGGAGCCAAAAACAGGGGATGAGACAATTCAAGGGGATAAAACAGACCAACCAGAGACCGAGAAAGCAAACACAGGCACAGAAGGCCAAAAGGTCAGGCAGTTGTTAACATTAAATCAACTAATGTGAGAGCGAGATGCTTACACTAATTAAAACCCTCTGTTTTTCTATAATACAATTCTTATATTTTTAGCTCTATTGTCACAAAGTGACATGGTGAGCTTTTGTGATTGCAGTTTGTGTGTCTGTGGTCTGTAAACTTTTACTTAAAATAACATCTCCTCATAAACCCCTTATCCAATTTAATCCAATTTTTTTCAGGAATGTTCCTTGGGTGGTTACCTTTGAAAATTGTTCAAAGAATGGAATTCCATGCAGAACTCTGGTTGCCATGCCATAGGAAAGAATTATTTTTAAATACAGTAGAACTTCTATGAGTCGAACTTCGATTAGTCGATTTTCTCGATGTGTCGAAGAAAAATTAAAGTCCCGACTTTTCCCCCTATATATTCCTTATAAAAACCTATTTATGAGTCGATATTTTATGTGTCGAATTTTTCGATGTGTCGAAGTTTTTTCGTGGTCCGTGTTAAGTACATCTAGTGCAATTTACCACAAATAAGTCGAAGTTGTTCGATAATTTTGACACCGTCGATCTCGAGACATTTTTCACACCTTATCTGGCTGCGAAGACGATTTCCAATCAACTTGTGTGACAGGTGTTAATTGCTCAGCCGTGTGTTCAAACAGCCTTTGTTTTCGATAAAATGCTTTAATCGTTACTATTTTAATTGCCGTAGTGGTATTTGAAAGTAAACAGTAGGAACTACTTTCATTTGATTACATCCTTGACCCGGTGTCGCGTGAGAATAACACGCGAAATATATACTATAAGTTGGCTAAGTTATCGCCCTTTCGTATTGTTACGCCTTTTGTAACTCTATTTTACAACGATTAGTCCAAATAATTAGCCGTGAAAAACGTTATTTAACATGCTATATTTATCATTGTAAAATGTGAATATCAGATTAATGATGGAAAAAAACATGAAATAGTTTTCGTTATAGACTAGTCACGGGTCGAAATTTTGTAATGGAATTGAGAGCGATTCATGAGTCGAAGTCCCGATGTGTCGAAGTTTTTACGCAAGTCCCTTCAACTTCGACTTACCGAAGTTCTACTGTATCTTCTTTTTAAAAAACCAAAGAGAAAAAGCTAAGATATTTAGCATGAAACATCTTCTAGTTGGTGTCTACCAAGTTTGTTCAAATAAAAGCCCTGGGGTCAAAATTGGCCCTTCCCCAGGGGGTCATTGATTTTTCTTATTTGTATATAGTAAAAACTTTACAAGAAATTCTTCTCTTAATCTAAAAGAGCTCAAGCTTAGTTTCCATACCAACATCCATAGCAACTACTGACTTTATAATAGTCATTGATTTTTCATAGCAAACTGTATATTTTCATAGCAACCAGCAACTTTCCATAGCAACGATTAAATCTACCATTGAAATTCATAGCAGCGATAGCAACAAGTAAAGTTTTTACATGTGCACTATTTCAGATACAAAAATGAACTTTGTGATAGCAGTTTAAGATTCAGATTTTATTTCTGCTTTTATACAATATTACTTGTTCCTTGTCATGGAGAATATTTATATTCAGGTTAGCGATATTAGGGCCATCATGGCCTTATTGTTTTAACATTTCTTTTGAAACATTTAAAGTGGCATTGTGCTCATATTATTTCTTTCAAGTTTAGTTGTATAAGTCTTGTATTTCTAAAGATTGACCAATAATTGATAATAAAGATTGTTTCTTATAATATAATAAAACTACCTAAATTATAAAAAGACTTCCCCATTCTTCTGAAGAATTGAGCATTACTGGTACATTCTGAACAATATTTATAGAATTTCTGTAAGTCATGTGATTAATTTATTATTTTTTCAAACTTAAACACAATTATGGCAAAATGTTAAGTTATTTTAACTGTTCACTGACCATTCATTTACACTTGGGCCAGATGATGTCACTTTAAGGTCCTTTTGGAGCATCTTGTCTTTAAAAAAAACCTTCATTAAACATATTTTAGAAAAGAAATTAGGATATTGCAGAATTTTTTTAATGTCCAAGTACCTTCAATCATTAAATAAATAATCATATGTGGTAGAGGGATTATTAAGGTACAAAAGTTATATAGGCATATTCAGTTGCTTTCATATCTAAGATCAAGGCAAAGCCTAGTTGAACAGATTCTTATTTAGCATAAGCTTTTTAGTTTAAAGGTAAGTATAATATTGGCCACTTTATGTTCTTGCATGTGTTTTGTAGTATTTTAAGGTAAAGGAGATTCCTATAATTATGATATATATAACCAGGTGGCTGTTGTTTTCTACTGATTGACTTAATTCAGTGCATGTGATTAAATGATAAATTTTGTATTATAAGAATTGTGATGTTGTTTTTGTCACCAACCTTTGTCAATGTTTTTGAAGGTAATTATTATCAACTGTCTTATATGAAGCAGATATTTTTATTGTCATGTGTTAAATTTGAGAATTAAGACATAAGAATCCAATAAAGTAAATGTGATCATTAAATAATGTAACACTTATTGCTGGTCAAATTTTAATATTGTGGGGAAGATGATACACTACTATTTTGTATGCCCCTGAAGGGCGGCATATTAAAATCGCACATACCGCATCAAGACCATGTGTTGCGTCCAAGAACCACGTCCCTACCTCAAAGGTCAAAGTCATACTAACATTTTGAAGTTTCACATTATCACAATTAGAGTTTATAGGTATACACATTCCTGTCCGGACTGTAATTTTGTCATGCATCAAAGGATTTTAAAATAACCAGGCATAAATGTCTACCACATCAAGATGATGTGTCGCATCCAAGAATCATGTCCCTACCTCAAAGATCAAGGTCACACTACCATTTTGAAGTTTCACTTTATCACAATAAGAGATTTGTGTCTAGACTGTAACTTTGTCATGCATGGAAGGAATTTAAAATAACTTGCACATCAAGATGATGTGTCGCGGCTATGGCTCATGTCTGTCTGTCTGTCTCTTTCTCACTTACACAACAATCCTGTCCAGACTGTAACTTTGTCATGCATTGAGGGATTTTGAAATAACCTGGCACAAATGTCTATCATATGACAACATTGTATCGCATCCAAGAACCACATCCCTTCTTCAAAGGTCAAGGTCACACTTACATTTTGAAGGTTCAGGCTAACACAATGAGAGATAATAGGTACACACTTTCGTGTCCAGACTATAACTTGGTCATGCATTGAAGAGTTTTGAAAAAACTTGGCACAAATGTCTACCACATCAAGATGAAGTTATGTGTGTAAGAACCATGTTCCTACCTCCAAGGTCAAGGTCACTCTAATAGTTTGAAGGTACTTATGCTCATAAGAAGAGTTTGAAGGTACACATTAGTTTCCAAACTGTAACATTGTCATGCATTGAAGGATTTTAAAATAACTTGGCATAAATGTCTACCACATCAAGATGATGTGTCGCATCCAAGACCCTTGTCCCAAGGTGTTAAGTTTGCTATAAATAGCACTTCATTTCACAAGAACAATATTAAGCAATTAGTTACTTTCATTCTCTTTTCTTTTCATAATACCTGCATGCTTAAGAAACCTTTTCGGGGGCATTCGTCACTTGCATGACAGCTCTTGTTTTTTTTTATATATTTGTAATTACTTGTACATTTAAGTTAATTTAAATTAGATAAAATTTTGTGAGAGAATATATGTCTATTTAAAATAGATGTGATATATATTTTGTGGCTATTAAAGTTTTTGCATGTATATTATAGGAGGAGGAACTGCCAGCAGAGGATGAGAAACCGAACACTGATGAAGAAAATGAAGGAAAGAAAGAAGAAAAAAAGGAAGAAAAAGAAGAGGAAAAGAAAACAGAAGATGGGGAAACAAAAGAAGGAAAGGCAGATGAAAAGAAGGAAGATAAAAAGGTATTACTAGAAGACAAGTTGGTGTCTTACTTGTATAGATGTACATGATTTACTAGAGTTTGCAGGAGTTGTCATTAAAGTTTTAATTATCATGTATATACTGGTATCTGATCTTTATTCTAACATGCTGCACAATATATACCTATTAAACAGATAGAGCACTGAATTATTATATGATATATGCACAGCATAAAAAAGGAATGCTTACACATCATATGACATCAAATATAGTGTCAATAAACATAATGATGTCAGGAAATTTACTTCTATGTTCATTGTAGTTCAATATATTTTTATTAATTCTCTTTTTTATTAGCACGTTATAACGGAAATGGATATTACATTGTACGTTATAGTATAATAAGGCATGGTTTTTCATTCAAATTCTTTGTAATTAATCATGATTATATTCTTACACATTTAAAATCTACAACAGTGCATTCAGAATTGATATATATTTTTTAAACAAACAAAAAACAAAGCAAGCAAAAATCAGTTTGATTTCTACAACACTGTCAATGTAAAAATTGTTAAACAATCTTGAAGTAATATGAAAATGAAGCAGACCTGGTTCTTTGTAATTGAATTGAAAATATAGTCCAACCCCGTTTATTCGAAGTGCCTGGGACTGAAAATTTACTTCGAATAATCGATGGGTTCAAATAATCGAAATCAGTATATTGTGATAGAAGAAAACTACTCCACTTTGACCAATCATAGCAAAACAACACACATACTTCCTGCAATCAATTAAGAAAAATAAATGATAAAGAAAAGATGCGTAAAAATTATTTTATTGGCATTGAAGACATAAATGATTATATAGAGATAAAAACGGGACCGCCGATCTTCTTCAAATAATGCTGGGTATTCGAATAAAGGGTTGTCACATAACCTGGGTCAGACTGTATAGAAAAAGTTAAGGAATAAATATTTTTTATTAAATTGTAATGTATTGATTCCATTAATAAAATTTGAATCATCGCATTCCTTTTTTTTAACCCATCTAAATTTTTCTAGGAGGAAGAAGGGGAGAAAAAGCCAAAGATAATTATTGTGAAAGAAAACATTACAGTAGAAACATCAATCACTGATACAAAACCACTTAGCAAAGATAGTCTGAAAGCTTCCAAGAAAAAGTGAGTCATTAAAATCTTTGTTTGTATTTCAGTAAGAATGAATATTGGTTACTAGTAATTAGCTTAACAAAGCACTGCCTTTGTTTAAATGTTTCAAGGTGTAATACTTTGGTTTATGAAATTGTTTAAAAAGCACTATGTACTATGCTTAAAATAACCCAATGTTTCCATACATTTTAAAGATCAAAAAAAGTAATTTTTAATTATCC